GAATATATCAGGAACTTTCTTCGTTAAAAAATAAATAAATAAAAGAATTTGCTTATAAATCTCAAGTTTTTTTTTTCTTTTTTTTTTCTTATAAATCTCAATTTACTAAAAGTTTATTTCAGGTAGTTTTTAAAAATTAAATTATTTTCAAAAAGATGATTTTATATGTGTAGAATAACAAATAGATCTTTATATATTTCTTCAAATTACACAATAAACTTAAATAAATAATTTAATATATTATTTAGAAATTTAAAAATATTGAAAGAGCAATATTATCGGCAGAACAAGTTGTGGTCAACCGTTAGTCAGAGGTGGTGCATTCACAACACAAATAATCCGATCAAGACTAGCATGAGGCGATCTATTAGAATTTAGTGGAATCATCGGATTTTGACTCTTTGTTTTGCCGCATGAGGCGACCAATCTTTCGCTGCCTGCTTTTTCCTCATCCCAATAAAATTGGTTGTGTCCCAATACACCATCATTGACTACCGGTTAATTGGAGTTGATCATCATTGACAACAGCTGATCGAAGGTTGACCTCCATCACCAAGATCAAATTATATATTGAATTTCCTCTCTTTCAAAAAAATTATTAATTAAGATAAATTATTCTAATACAAATTTTTTTTTTTTTTAAATATGTATCAAATACTTATCAAAAGACAATTCTATAATTATAAAAATATTTTAAGAAATAAAATATCCTCTGTTTATCATTATACATACAACAATAATTTAAAAATATAATTTACTAAACATATAATTATAAGGAACGAGAATATTGTATTATTAAGAATGTTATATTAATAAAAAAATATATTATCTTGAAAATTGTTAGAAATATTTAGGAAAATGTGTTTGGTTAAGTTGAAATAAATTGATAGATATTTTATATTAATATGTTTGGTTAGGAGGAATAAATTGATAGGTACGTTATATAAATGACTAAATTACCCTCATTTTTAAATATTAATATAATATTATTTTTTAATCATTTTTAACCCTCTACCTTTGAGATTTTGCTAAAACATCCCAATCACATAAAAATTTAATTTATAACACAATCATCAAACACCCCCAACCCCCCGGGCCCCACCCACCCTAAGCCACTACTGACCACAACGACAATGGTTGGAACAACGCACGACTGAGCAGATCTGGCCGACCATGCGTTGTTCCGGCAACATCAGCCAGTGGTGATCTTGGGTGACCTACAATTTTTTTTAAATACAAGGGCATTACTGTAAAAAAAAATTAATTAATTTGGGGTAAAATTGTAATGGTAGATTCATATAAATTAATTCAAAATAAGAGAATTATTATCCAAAAATTCGAATAGTTAAGGGTAAAATTGTAACAAAATTAATATTACCAATTAATCTTAAAATACCTAAAAAATAAAGATATTCGAATTACCACATATATAACCAATAGTAATTACTATTAGTTTTAAAATATTACCGGAATCTTATAGTACTTGATAACCCAACATGATAATCCAAGTAATATGAGATAACATTACCTCAATAATAGGAGATAATCCCTACCCAAACGCCTCCATCGGGTTTTTCATGAAAGTTGTATACATCGTACACATTCTAACTTCTTTGGAAAATTGATTATTTTCAAAGTTGATTGAAAATTGATTAAGTTTAAAGCTACAACAATACTAAACTAATCTTATTTTATCATTAAAGCTAACTAAAATTAGTGTGTTAATAATTAAATTTTTCTTCTTCAAGTTTATTTCAATTAGTTATTTATAGGAGGGTTGACATAATGTGATTAATTTTTGACACTTCTTATGAGTCATTAATCTTTTATGATACAATGATAATAATATAAAGGTTTAAGGTAGTTAAATTTAATATTCTAACTCGTTATAGTAGAAATATCATTAAAATAGCTATTTCAAGATAATTATTATTGAAATTAAAATAATATTACAAAATAAATTTTAATTTTAATTCATAATGACATTTAAATATTTCTAATTTTGTAATATATTTTTCATTTACTATGTATAATTTAACTCATTATAGAATTTACCTTCGTCAGGGACTCAGGATGCAGTGGAAGCTGAGCACATTTCAGAGGCCGAAAGCAAGATAATATGATCACAAAACAAAGTAGAACAAGAAACCACTGCTGCTTCATAAGCATCAACATATTACTACTTCCAGTTTGAAGAAGAATTGAAAACAATCTGTGTAACTGATAACATAATAATATTTCAGCTTGAGAAGGAGTTAATAATGTTCAGTTTTAATAATATGATAGAGCTTTTAATTATTAATTAAGACTATACATTAATTTCCCCTACTAGGATCGAGACTACTTAAATCAAGTTTGAAAATGATCCTTCAATTGTCCCCTAATTAAGATGTGAAAAAACATTTATGGATTTTCATCAATTTTGCCTCACAACGAACACACATGACTTTGGTTTCATTACATGTATAGGCTAAAAATCGTCTTGCACCTTATTAGACCCAAATAGGTATTTTCTATTATGTAGGCCTAAGATCGTGGTCCAATTCCGATTGGGCTTACATCAGAATTCATGTCATGGGCCAAACACACGGTCTAAACCCAACCTCTCTCTAGATTGGGCATCACCATTAACCCACCTAGGGTCAGACCCATTGATCCATGATAATTAGGACTCTTTATGGGTTTTACCCTAGTTTGCCCAACATTATTATCTTATGTGAATTAGAACTCTTAATCCTTGAGTCAAGTAAATCGGGATTTTTCCTATTTACTAAACATCTACCATTATGGACTCAAAGTCCTACTAGAATACAAAGATCCTATGATTATTATATAAATAGAGGACACACCTCTGTTTAGGCATCGAATCTATAAACTACCTACTATCTACTAGCTTCTAAAGTTCTTGCTCTAAGAAAGTACACCTTCACCATAGTTTTAGTCTTCGACTAAAGTCTATAGTAACTTTCCTTCCCCTTAACCTTCATTGAAAAGTTTTTATTAGCCTTACTAACTTAAGTGTCAAAGTGTTTACGACAAATATCATCCCAGTTTTTTCCGTTCGATTCACATTGGTTTCTTTGTATGTGTAGGTGCAGCAGATTGTCAGTGGCCTCAATCTCACATGATCCATCATTCTTTCCATAACCATAAATTTTAGCGTCTATATCACATCAACTACAAACTTATACAATAATAATAGCAATAACAACAACAACGATTAATATAAGAATGTAACATTTTCTTATTAAGTTATATAAAATTAAGTGCTTTGCTCAAGAAAAGTTTATATTTATTTTTTTTTTAAAAATGTGTATATATATGTTAAAATTTGAAAATCTAACAGATCAACTTTATAAATCATTAAAATCTATCTGAACTTTATAAACTTGTGACACTTTTTTATCATTTTACCTTGATTGATAATCTCCCTTAATTAATAATAAACATGAATAAGAGATATATTAATTATTAAAACATTAATTTTTCATAAAAATAATTAGATTAAAACTATAAATTGAAAATATAATTAAAACAAATGTTTTTTATGCTATTATCGTTTGTAAATATGTATAACATCTAAGAATGTATCATTAGATAAATTATTAATATATAACATTAATTTTGATTTATTTAATATGCATAATGTATGATGTATGAAAGAAATAAGTTATTAATTTTTTTCTTTTTCATAAATTGTTTCTTTCTAAATTAAGAAGAAATTAAATTAATGGATAATTATTAAATTTTATTAGTTTTTTAGAAATTGAATTTTCCTGTTCTTTTACATTCTCTCTTAGAATGATTCTATAAATTATGTTGGAAAATTAGTTAGCTTTTTTTGTTCGTGGAGAAACATAATTACAATGAAAAGTCTTTTATAATAAAAATTTATGCATAAGAGTATATATACAAAGAAATTTTGCAAAAAATTCTATATAAAGTGAACTGGTAATAAATGAATGGAAGAATGAACAAAAAAAATAATATTCACTCTTTCATCAATTTCCTGTCACATTACTTTGTACAGAAATCTTTGAAAGATTTCTTTATACGTCTAGCATTATTGTATGCTTAAGAGGAAAAGGAGATTAAGATTTATAAAAAATATATATAATTCCAAAAGATATTGTAATGTGTTAGATTTAGAAGTAGAAAGTTCTATTTTTAAGAGATTTCAGTTCACATGTTCAAGGTCACTTCAGCTTCTGAGCTTCTTTCTATTTACTTGAGCACCACGTTGGGCCCAACTTTATCACCTTCTCGTTGGACCCAAAACATAAAAGAGAAATGAATTTTAGTCTCCATATAAATTTATAACATCATTATTCCGTTATTAAATACATCTCATTTGTATTTTAAAGGTCACCTAACAATAAAAATATCATTTTAGATTATTTTTTTTTTTCTTGTACATCTCTTTTTCTCAAGTTCCAAATCAGATTTCTTAAAAATTGAAAGGAATTATTGTCTGTTTCTGTGTTTAACTTAACTTTAAATAATTTAATATAAACTTATTTCTATCATTTTAATTAGTTTGCAATTAGTAGCTGGTTTCAAGTTTTTATCTTCACTTTAAAGACTAACTTATGCTGAAATATTACAATGATTAGATTAATGGGGAATTGAGGTTACACGCTGTAAACTCGGCAGGCATTATAATTCATTTGCCAAGTGCCTATACATTTATTTTTCCTTAAACTTAGATAGTAAATTAGATACATTAAATTCTTCGGAGGGTATGATATATGATACTTTAAACATATTTTAATATTTGTATACAAGTTTTTTCAAGCAAGTTAAACATGTATTTCTTCTTGGAACTTTTAATTTTGTATAAAACCTCAATGGAATAAGGGAATTTTATTAAACAAAAATGAAACCAAATACACCTAAAGAGTGGGACATAATGAGCCTTACCTCTAGAAAGCATGCTAATATATAAAGACTAAAACCCAAAAAAAAAAAAAGAGAAAAAAAAAAAAAAAAAAAAAAAAGCCTAAGAAATTGAATGCATACAATTATCCAAAAGAGAAACAACACAAATTATTTTATTCTTTTGCAAAGTTGAAGACATTCTACTCACAATCAATTGCCAGGGTTTGATTGTTTGAAGGCATCTAGGGAAGATCCCTTGTGACTCAAAACATATGAGAAACCATGTTCATGGTTGGCCTAGAATTTGGATTGGAATCCAAGCAATCAATTGCTAGCTTTATTATTGCTATCACTTGATCCTGAATAGTAGGTGCAGGAAGTGGAAGGCGTTCATCCAAAACATTGTTTAGCAACAAGTTTTCCCAAGTGAAAGAAGAGGATAGAGTAGGAATGATATCACCCGGATGCTTTCCATTGATCACTTCCAATGCTAACACTCCAAAACTATATACATCACATTTTTCAGTTACCTTCATTGTGTAAGCAAGTTCTGCAAAGTGAAAGATAAATTATGAGATCATATTTCATAACTATTTCTTTTTTCTTTTTTATGTAATTAACAAAAGTGAAAGATAAATGATGAGATCATATTTCATAACAGTTTCTTTTTTCTTTTTTGATGTAAGTAACAAAACAATCAAGACAATAATAAATAAATTACATATACCTGGTGCAATATATCCATATGTGCCTACAACTTGTGTCCAATTGGATAAGTCTGGATTGAGAAATTTGGCAATTCCAAAGTCTGAAACATGAGCTTCATATTCTGTATCCAACAACACATTTTTGCTCGATATGTCTCGATGAACTATTGGTGGGAAGCAATCATGGTGTATGTAGGACAAGGCATTACACACACCTTTCAAAATATTTACTCTCTTACCCCAATCCAATTCTCTTGCTGTAGCTTCATGGCTCAAGAATGTGGCTAAACTACCTCTTTCAAGATACTCATAAACTAAAAATGAGTCTCGAGAATGTACACAAAAGCCAAAAAATTTCACAATGTTTCGATGTCGTATCTCTGTTAATACCCTTATTTCATTTAAAAACTCTTTTTGGTCTTCTATCACATCAAGCTGAAGGGAGTGAAATTTCTTTATTGCCATAATAGTCCTTGACAGAAGTTGTGCTCTGTAAACACTTCCAAATCCACCCTTCCCAATGCAATACTTGCCATCAAAATTCTCTTTTGCACTCACAATTTCTTCATACATTATTCTTCCATCAAAAGTTAATACCGAAAGAATTTCATCCTTGTTCACACTTCTATGTTGTTTCGATGACTCTTGCTTTTTTCTTTGGAAATAAAAGAACATTAAAGTCACAACAATTAAAAGAGCAAATGCTCCTGAAATAACAAAGGAGATTACCAACCTCTTTCCTATGACGTGTTTGTGTGATATGAGAGCCTGGCAAGGTGTCAATCCACTAGCATTACCACACAATCCTATATTCCCTTGTAATGCTTCAATGGGAGCATCTCTGAATGCTTTGTTGTTGGGAATTGGACCTTGTAACTCATTATAAGATATGTCAATACTTGACAAGCCATGCATATCTTCAAAACAAGTTGGAATTAAGCCAGAAAGCTTATTGTAGGAAAGATTCAAATATACCAGACTCTCCAAGTTACATAATTGAGATGGTATCTCTCCTTTGAGTAAGTTGTGACTCAAATCTAGTTCTGACAGTTGAAACAAATTCCCCAATTGGAACAGAATTTCGAGGTTAAACTGATTGTTTCTCAAATTCAAGTAGTACAATTTTGACAAGTACCCTAAATCTCCTGGGATTGACTTGCTTAATCTATTTGTGGACAAGTCAATGTACTCAAGTTCTTTGAGTAAGCCAACTTCACGAGGTATGCCTCCAGAAATTTGATTCCCAGTTAGAACAAGCTTGTTAAGAGAAGTCAACTTTCCAAATTGCATTGGAATCTCTCCAATTAAATGATTTGAAGAAAGGTCAAGTTCATGTAGTTCAGTTGAGTTTTGAATCTCAAGCGGGATGCTCCCAGTAATATTATTCCCTGAAATATTTAAAGTGCCTAACTGTGAACACTTTCCCCAGGTAGATGAGATTTCACCATAAAATTTGTTGTGGCTAAGATCTATGAAATTTAGATTTGGATAGATGCCAAAATCTTCAGAAACATTTCCAATGAAGTTGTTTTTGTTAAGCCGAACTCTGATTAACCTTGTGCAATCTCTCAAATCTTTGGGGATATGGCCAAACAAATGGTTCTCACTAACGCGAAAGTGCGTAAGTGATCCACTTCGGCAAATATTATCAGGAAGAGAACCATTGAAGTAATTTTGAGACAACTCTAAGTCGGTCAACTTCAAGAGATTTCCAATTTCATGAGGGATTGAACCAAAAAGGTTGTTGATGTTGAGGTATAAAAATTTTAAGTTGCTCAAATTTCCAATGGTAGGAGGAATAGAGCCACTCAGTTGATTTATGCCCAAGCCTAGATTCGAAAGAGACATCAAGTTGCCTATCTCCTTGGGAATGACTCCAGAAAGGTTGTTGGTATGGAGGTATAATGATTTTAAGTTGGTCAAATTTTCAATGGAAGGAGGAATAGAGCCACTTAGTTGATTTATGCTCAAAGATAGATTCAAAAGGGAATTCAAGTTGCCTATCTCCTTGGGAATGGTGCCAGAAAGGTTGTTGTTGTTGAGGTATAACAATTTTAAGCTGCTCAAATTTCCAATGGAAGGAGGAATAGAGCCACTCAGTTGATTTATGCCCAAGTCTAGATTTGAAAGAGACTTCAAGTTGCCTATCTCCTCAGGAATGGCACCAGAAAGGTTGTTGGTGTGAAGGAATAACAACTTTAAGTTGGTCAAATTTCCAATGGAAGGAGAAATAGAGCTACTCAGTTGATTTCTGCTCAAAGCCAGATTCAAAAGGGACTTCAAGTTGTCTATCTCCTTAGGAATGGTGCCAGAAAGGTTGTTGTTGTTGAGATATAACAATTTTAAGTTGCTCAAATTTCCAATGGAAGGAGGAATAGAGCCACTCAGTTGATTTATGCCTAAGTTTAGATCCGAAAGAGACTTCAAGTTGCCTATCTCTTTGGGAATAGAGCCAACCAATTGATTAGAAAAAAGGTAAAGGACCTCTAGATTTGTTAGGTAGCTGATTTGAGCGGGGATAAAACCAGAGAGTTCATTCTGACTTAGATCAAGGTATGCAAGATTGGGAAATAATGAAAAAGATAGTTTATGAAGCGTACCTTTTAAACTTGTACTGGTCAGGTTAATACTAATGATACTTTCGGCATGGTTGCAAGAGATTCCAAACCAGGTACATGGGCTTATTTTGGTTTTGAGGTGGGTAGAAGTATTTGTGGCATTCCGAGAAGAAAGAGTCCATGATGACAGAAGAGAATGGCTCTGGTTTTGAATGCTAGCTTTCCATTTGAGAAGAGCTAGTGCTTCTTGAGTAGAATCAGAGGCAACATCAAGTGAAGAATATTGTGACATAACAACAAACAAGACTAGGGAAACAAGTGAGAAAATTCTCTTCAAGGTTGACAACCCCATTGTTTCTGATATTATGTAATGCATATCATAATTTGGAAACACCTAATATATATAGGCAACTCATAGTACATAACTTAAGTCTTTAAATAGTCTCCCCCTCTATTTTCACGCTTACTAAGTCAAAATTTCTATACCTTCTTCATGAAGATAGTAATAGGGGTGTTCATAACCGGTTAACCAATTTTCTGAATCGAATTGGTTTTTTGGTTCAGGAATTTTCCTGAACCAAATATGAACCGGTTAAGGGGAAAACCCTTTAACTTATTTTTTATTTTAATTTTTCCCTAATTTAAACTGGTTTTACATTTTATTATTTTTATAATGAACCAGTTTATATATTTTGATTTTTATTGCTTTGATTTTATATTTTATTATTTTTATAATAAACCGATTTATAAAACCGGTTTCGATTAACTAGTTCTCATAATCCCGTAAACCGATAACCGAATCAAAAAATTAGTTTTTGTATTTCTTTGAACTAAAATTGAACCAGTTTTCTGGATAACTAAAAAAACTGGTTTGGTTTGGGTTGCGCATTTTTATGAACCCCCCTAGATACTAATATTGTTTGTCCGCTCTCATTGTCTAATGCTTGTACGCTAAGACTTGTTAAAATTAACATAAGCAAGACGTCTCTGTCTTCTTTTCATTTCAAAGGACAAAGGTGGAACTCTTCACCTTATCTACCAGGTCTAATTAATTTCTTTTTTAACATAATTACATCACTTTTTCTTAGTGGGAGAATAGGGTGTCCACATAATGGGGTAGAGTGCAGAAAATTTGTGTATAATTTCTCAACAAAACGACAAACTTGGAAAGCACTACCGACGTGTATCCCAATTTTGTTGAGAAATTCCACCCCAGGATGTGGACATCATATATTCCTTCACTAAGAAAAAATATTTTTAAGTAAATGCTGATGATCTGGTTCACACTCTAGTAAGGTTTTTGTCTCCATATATATAACAACAACTAAGATAGTGTTGAATTCAAATACAAGTTTATGCTTTAAAATTAGCATCGTATGAAATTATTATACCCAACTATAAATAGAGCACCCATGGCCACCCAGCTTTGCCAACCTGGTTAACTTCTTTTTCTCTAATCTATATCTTCTCAATACCAAATTAACAATTTTCTCTTATTTCAATCTTATATTTCTTTATTATTGAAAAGTTGAAAACAATCTATAAATGATAAAATTTCAGCGCAGCGCCCTGAAAGCAAAGTAGAGAGTCTATGTTATTGGTTTTTGATCAATAAGCTGATATTGATTAATGATTAGTTATTAATTAAGAATATTAATTAATTTCCCCCACTAGAATTGAGACTACTTAAATTAAGTTTGAATTAAATGACACTTAACCTGTCCCCTAATTAAGATGTGGAATGAAATCCAGCTCACAAGTACTGAACATAAATGCGTAAAGAGACAAGGGAAGCAAGTGAAAATACACTCTTGAAGGTTGTTGACAACGCCATTGTTTGTGATATTATGTAATGCACATCATAATTCGGAAAAACTCTGATATATATGGAAAACTCATGATACACACCTTAAGGCTTAAAAAGTCTCCCCTACTCTTTTCACGCTCAGAAATAAAAATTGATTACACCTCTTGATGTTGATACTACCGTTGCTTGTCCTCTAGCATTGACAGATGCATGTATGCTCACACGTGTTAGAGTTGACATAAAAGCGTCTCTCTTGCGTTCATATCTAAAAGTAATATGTATGCATACGTCTATGCATGGCTGTGCTTAATAAAAAAAAACTTTAATTTTAAAAGACAGAGGTGGACCACTTCAAACTTAATAAAGATCTAGCAGCTCTAATTGTTCACATACTGTAATTTACAAGAATTTTCTGTTGTTATTCTATGTCTGTTGTTTTGTTGAGATTTCACACATTATTTTTCTGCAACTTGCCCGGCCCCTTCATCATGTGGACACTAAGAAAATATCATGTTATGTTAAAGAACGTAGTTAACACTCTAGTCAAGGTCTTTGTCTTTAACTACTGAAAAAAGACCTTGAAGATACATGTGAAACTTACAAGATATTGGTGCTTGAAAAGTCTCCAGCTTCGTTTATTCCATGTCTGTTGTTTTGCTGAGATTTCACACATGAATTTTCTGTAACTTCCTGGCACCTTCATCATGTGGACACTAAGAAAATATGATGTTATGTTAAAGAATAAAATTCTGACAACTTACGTAATTGACACTTTAATCAAGGTCTTTGTCTTTAACTACTAAAAAAAGACCTTGAAGATTGCCCATTATGTTATATTTTTTTTTTTTTTTCAAGTTCTTTGACTTGAGCTTCTGTGTGCTACTTCTTTTTACATAGAACTAAATTTGGGCCAACTTTTATTTCCTCATCTTTGGACCTGATTTTGGTATTTTTTATTAGAGGGGAAAAGTAAATGTATGATATTGTTAAATGCTACAAGTTTCATTGTTTCATTAAAATTATACACTTGTAATTACCAATGATAATAATGATAATAAGTGGTAGAGTTAAATTTGGAGGAGTTAAACTACAAATTTTAATAAATAAATAAATCATCAAAATATAAATTTTAATAGGTGAAAAGATATTATTATATATGAATTTGAAATTTTGTTTGTAAAACCTGGACGGGTAGCTTCACTTATAGGATAATAATGAAAAATAAGATGAACTTATAATAATATACAACATTGACATAACATGTTCAAGCATCGAGTAATTTTACATATCCCCGATTGAATAAAGCAGAATAAGTACGCCTAGTTTGAGAATGGATGGCCTTGCTATAAATTACACTAACATAGAAATATTATTACAAAACATCTTCAAACCAAGCTGAGAAGCATCTTCAGTCATGAAATTTTATGGCAGACAGGCCTTAAAAGGACAAAAAATCTATAATTATATAGTTCATCTTACATAAATTAAACTCTAGTACATTATGTAAAACCGAAGAACTCCCACATGGGTTCAGAGATATGGTCTTAGAATTGAGTGGACAAAGATCCTCCATTGATGTAAGGTCTCTTGTGCACTATGAATTGATAGAGTATAGATCATGTGCAGATGTGGTGGAAGATCCAAAAACCACGTTTTATCTGGAGAAATGTTTGGGCAGTTGAGCTTCCTCTTGAATTCTGGTCGAGTTGTTGTAATGCCAGATGCATATATGCTCTGACGTATTAGACTTGACTTAAAAGCGTTTCTATCTTGCATTCATTCCTTATTTAACAATGTAATTTGAAAAACACAGAGGTGGACCACTTCAATTTTCTAACTGTGATAGCAACTCTAATTACAAATTAATAGCTCACATAGTACCGACAAGTGAATGGAGTCCGATGGAAATAGATGTTGATCTGAAGGTGACGACTTTAACGTTCATCATATGGTGAATGTAACTCCATACATATGTGTATGGTCAAGATCTTGTAACTTGCAAGACATTGGTGCTTGAAAAGTCTTCAATTCCAATTTTGTTGTTTTGTGGAGAAATTCTACACATAAATACTATGCAACTTGCCCCTTGATCATGTGGACAATAAATATGCCGTAGTTAACACTGGTCAAAGTCTTTGCAGAGTTGTACCTTTAATTAAATGCTATAATGTAGTTGACACCTTAGTCAAGGTTTTTGTCTTCTAGGGTTCAAATTATCCTCTTATGAGTGGTTATGCTTTTACAACAAATTTTCATCACTTATTTACCTTTCTCTTAAATCTTTACCATCTTAACAAATCAAGTAATTCTAATTTATGAGCATCATAATTTTCATTTAAAATTAGCATTTCTAATTTTACCTAATAAATAGAACATTGATCACTATCCAACTTTGCCAACCTGGTTACCTTCTTTATTTGGTCCCGGAAATACAATGACAAAGACAAAAATAAAAAAATAAAAAAGAAGATATAGCTTCCTTTTGAAAATATATTGAAATCTCTGATAATTTGTAGGAGTACAATCTAATGTTGTAATCCAATTCAATTAATTTTCAAGTAGATTGTAATTGTATTTCAATCTAAACATCTATATTGAATTAGAGTAATACTACATCAACAACCCTTTCTCACAACCCTGACATGGCAACTTACAATTGATCAGCTCATAATTAATTAGTGAGACCCATGGACTCATGTGAGACTCGTTGTGAACTGATCAATTGTAAGTTGTCATGTGAGGGTTGTAAGAGAAGGTTTGTGAGAGAGGATTGCCAGTGTAGTATTACTCATTGAATTAGCATAGAATTCATATGAATGAATTTGGATAAATCAACTTTAAATTTAAGAAATGATTCAATCATACATAGTTTTTCATAAGAAAAACCATCAACTAGTTAAATTGATTGAATTGATTTTATAAATTTTTTAATTAAATCCAATCCATCAAACCAGTTCTTTAAATATATGATCTAATCCCATTTTTTAACTTAACGAATTCAGCCAAAAAAAAAAATAAATAAATAAGAAGTAGGTTAAATTTGTTACCTTTCATCAATTTATTTGTATGTTTGGAACCATCCAAATATAATATAAAATTTTCTATCAAAAAATAAGTTATATAATAAAATATAAAACTCATCGAGATTATGATGAATATTGAATATTGATGTTGTAATTGAAAGAGGAAGAGAAAGATACAATTATTGTATATAATTATAATGAAAATTAACCTTCTTTAAAATTAATGAACATGATATTATGCATGATTGGAGGATGAGAACTGAGAAGTCATCAACTAAAGAATCTCTTAGTCAAGTGTTTCTCGTTTTGATAGAATTGTCCTCATGCTTGCGTTGTAATCAATTATAATGTTTAAACTATCGTGAATGCAACTCCACATATACATTTGTATATAGTCAGGCTCTTGTAACGTACAAGACTTGGTGCTTGAAAAGTCTCCAATTCCAAGTTTGTTGTTTTGTTGAGAAATTCTACACATAAATTTTCAGTTACTTACCCCCTTGATCATGTCACCATGTGGACACTAATTTTGCATTTTCTTCCGCTGAGAAACTGATGTTATGTTAAGCAATGAAATTCTAATAACGTCGTTGACACTCTAATCAAAGTTTTTATCATCATGATTATGATAAATATTGAATATTGATGTTGTAATTGAAAGAGGAAGAGAAAGAAACAATTCTTGTCTATAATTATAATGAAAATCAACCTTCTTTACAATTAATGAACATGATATTATGCATGATTGGAGGATGAGAACTAAGAAGTCATCAACTAAAGAATCTCTTAGTCAAGGGTTTCTCGTTTTGATAGAATTGTCCTTGTGCTTGCATTGTAATCAATTATAATGTTTAAAATATCGTGAATGCAACTCCACATATACATATGCGTATAGTGAGACTCTTGTAACGTGTAAGACTTGGTGCTTGAGAAGTCTCCAATTCCAGGTTTGTTGTTTTGTTGAGAAATTCTACACAAATTTTTCAGCTACTTGCCCCCTGATCATGTCACCATGTGGACACTACTTTTGCATTTTCTTCTACTAAGAAAATGATGTTATGTTAAGCAATGAAATTCTAATAACGTCGTTGACACTCTAATCAAAGTTTTTATCATCATGATTATGATAAATATTGAATATTGATGTTGTAATTGAAAGAGGAAGAGAAAGAAACAATTCTTTTCTATAATTATAATGAAAATCAACCTTCTTTACAATTAATGAACATGATATTATGCATGATTGGAGGATGAGAACTGAGAAGTCATCAACTAAAGAATCTCTTAGTCAAGTGTTTCTCGTTTTGATAGAATTTCCTCATGCTTGCGTTGTAATCAATTATAATGTTTAAAATATCATGAATGCAACTCTACATATACATATGTGTATAGTCAAGCTCTTGTAACGTACAAGACTTGGTGCTTGAAAAGTCTCCAATTCCAAGTTTGTTGTTTTGTTGAGAAATTCTACACATAAATTTTCAGCTACTCGCCCCCTTGATCATGTCACCATGTGGACACTAATTTTGCATTTTCTTCCGTTAAGAAAATGATGTTATGTTAAGCAATAAAATTCTAATAACGTAGTTGACACTCTAGTCAAAGTCTTCATCTTTTAGGGTTAAGATTTTCCTCTTATGTGAGTGGTTTTGCTTCTATGATAAATGTTCGTCACTTAGCTCCGTTTCTCTTAAATCTTTACCATCTTTACAAATCAAGTAATTATAATTTAAGCTTTATGTACTGAAAAAAGACCTTGAAGACTGCACATTATGTTACATCTTTCTTTCTTCAATTTCTTTGTCTTGTCACTTGAGCTTCCGTGCTACTTCCTTAGAGCCAAATTTGGGCAAACTTTATTTTCTTTCCTTTGGACCAAATTTTGGTTTTTATAATCACGCAGTGGGGAAATCATAAATAAAATATGGGTCATGATTTTTAGTTCTCACCCTTTTTTTTTTTAATAGTCTCCATTTTAACTTTTTTTTTTTTTTTTTAAATAACTTTTGACAAGTTTAATTTAAATTAAATTACTATAAAGAACACTGTAATTAAATAGACCAAATTTAATTCCTTCATAGATTATTACATCTCATGTTCAAAGTTACAAGAAATGATCTTTCGGTTTGAATTTTAAATTTATTAAGTAATTAGTTTACATTTTAGGACTATTTTCATATTTCTATTTTTTTTATGGAATCTTATTTTTTATATCTAATAAAAATTTTGTAACATCTCTCATCACTTGAAAAGGAGAAGTGAAGACTAATTAAATATCTTGTGGGCTTCTAAGTTATTAAAAAACATTTTGGGTTGAAGCCTAGAACCAAAAGCTTTTGTACTTTTAGAATAGCAAATGTATAATTTATATTTACTAGGAAGTAAATTAAAATTTAATCGAAATTTATTCTCATCTTATTTCCATGTGTAAAACCTAATTATTGGAATGAATTATAAAAATAAAAAAAGATTCTTTTTCTATCAAAAAAAAAAAAAATATATATATATATATATCAATTTTTGAAGTTTAAATATTATTTGAATTTTTCGAAGAATTTGATGGAAGTCTATATTGATCTTGGTATTAAGTGAGATTTCAAGAGAAATTTTATAACATAAATGTGGTGTAATTAATAAGGAGAATATCAGAATACTAACAAATTAAATGATGGAAGTCTATAATCTTAGTATTAGGTTTCAATGTTTCTTTACAATGATAAATGCATTAGCGACATATTAGTCAGAATCCAAAAATCCCAGCTATGATGGTTCACAATCGCAATATAAATGTTAGTTAGGACCCCAAAAAAAAAAAAAAAAAAAAAAAAAAAAAAAAAAAAAAAAAATCTATACTGATTTTGTTGTTCATCATATGTAAATTGAGCTCAAGAACTATGATGTAAAATCAAAGAACTCTCACTAGGGTTATGCACACTGAATTGATAAGAGTAGAAGCAAAACAATTCAATGCGGCTCCATGTCTGGCACCTTCGCACATGATATTGTTTATAGTAACATTTGGGCCCCCACAATTAATATGGAGTGATTGATAATCTGGAACATCTATAATGCAATCATTGGTATCACTGTAATATAATTTTCCAAGTGCATGATCAAAACTGTGTGATTTTGATTTGACCAGAAATAAAGAGCATACAGAGTAATATTTTAGTCAGATATAGATGAAATCTCATTCTAAAACCTATACAACAAAAGATCATATTTATATTTTGTTAAGCTTAACTATCTTAAATCATTGTAATATTTGTTGAAGTATGAATCCTTTGGTAGAAGTTGAAGATACCTGGCATGCAAAAAGTAATGTTGCGGCGAGAAGATGGCAAGAGTGAAGTTGAAGACCGACCGCTGCAGCAATACAAATGGTTGCTGCAGCGATAGGAATTTGAATATTAACATATGTGGTTGTTAATAAAAGCTCTGCACGGTATGTAATTTGGTATGGACATGGCAGAAGCATGAAATAGACACAATACAAGTAAGACACTACATAATTAGTATAGCAGCATGCTTTAGCTTTCATGCCTTGTATGCACTACTGGAGCCGAAGAACGACGCCAGAAATTGTACCGCAGTTTGTCATTGTAGGCTCGCTGTAACTCTAACTTTCCGATGCCACCCACCGGCGCCATTCTACATTAATAGAACACGTCGTAGTTGGAGTCAATTTCAGGGTGGATGTAATCGGCTATCCAATGAAATATTATGGCTTATGTAATCTGCATTGACCAAATCCAACACACGTTGCACCGCTCCAAAGCTTCAAACATTGCTTATTGTTCCGACACAGAGATCGCTGGGATAGTGCAACAACGCTGCCATAGCATCGTTTTCTGCCATTCTTAAATCTTGAAAATGACAGAGAGGTCATTAGAGTAGTGCAACGACACTGCAATTCTAAAATATTGAAAACGACACAGAAGTCGCCGGAATATTGCAAGTTTTGCACCGTTTTGTGGGAATACATAGACAATACTACATACAAGGGAAAAAAAAAACTAAGCGTTAATTCACATGAAACTTAAATCTACCCAAGAAGAATTCTCCTTATCACAATGTTCAAATCACATTACTTGTTGCAAGTGAATTTTTTGCCACCTTCACAAGAACCTTTTCACTTCTTGGGAGCAAGATGAAACCTTCGTCAATGAAACCTTCTGATTCAGGCCAGATTCCAATCTATAAAACTCCAACTATAACATCTCTTTCAACATTGGGATATCTTATAACAGATTCACCAAAACCCAAAAAGTCCCTTCATGCTTGCAACTTCTAACTGTGAAACAAAAAGCATATCTGAGACCATAGTAAACAAAAGAAAGCAAACGAAATTCCTAATGTGAATACAAAGAGAGGCAAGAATGGATCGTATCATCATATGGTATATATGCAATTGAAAATGGAAACACAGGTCTTTAATGAGAGTTAACAGGATATTGATTCGAACTAACATAGAGCTCATAATGAAACTAGATAGGAACCTTTCCAATAAGATAAACATTGCAGTTGAGCATATATAGATTTAAACATTGAAGACCAAAGACTGATACATACTTTGATCATGAGCTCAATGGCAGGTTCAAGGATAATGCTTCTAATCATGGTTTAGACTCACCACCACACAAACAATGCGTCAAGACAAAGAGCAGATAAAACTATCGGAAAGTCAAACAAAACATGCTATGAACCTCCAATACTTTATGGCTGGTACTATCACCAAGTGCAAACAGCTAAAACAAAATCCTTCCTCACTAAACCATCACTTCTCCCACCACAGTAGATTCCATCTTCTTTCCTTATAATTGCTGTGATTTTAATTTTATTACTGTCCACAGTGAAATGGAGAATCTCCTTCTGTTGAAATCCCTCCGTCCACAGGAACTTTCCGTCAGCCGTTAACCTAAAACATACAACCGTGCCGTTAATAAGAACACAGTAGGACAATTTCTCATTGAAAGAACACAGTACATAAAGAAACCACATTGAAGATAAACAATAATGCACAGTAGAGTAAAAAAAAAAAAAAAAAAAAAAAAGGGGTCAAAATGCACTTACTGGAACCGGAGAACTGTTGTGGCGAGTAAAATTGAGAGAAACAAAGTGAAGGTTGCCGGATCGGGAAATTTCACTCCTTGGAGGAGCAGGTAACGGTGGGGAAAGCGTTGATTCATGTCGGATTCACTTGATTCAGGCTAAGACTGAAGGGGAGAACCGGAGAAATGAAAGAGACGGATCCACCTTGTGTAACACTTCTAAGGAATGACCGTTCTTGAAGGCACATGAACAGTACCTTAAGCAATTCAACATAGGGGGTTGGAAATCTATTAATGAGAAGACACATAACAAACACAATTATGAAGAAAAATAGTAATTATATAAAGATCTCAAAACAAATAATGGGGTACACCCTTCCCGAAAACTGTTAACCAAAGATGATAAATTGTTCTTACATTTCTTATAGATAGGGAAGGTTCACCAGCTCCAGTGGAAGCCTACCTTGAAGACTCAAAATTTAAGCTTTCTGCAGTTCAAGGAGGAAAAATTAACAAGAATAGGTACAATTTGAAATTGAACTCTCTTCAATTATAAAATATACCTAAATAATATTTTAGATTATAAATCTCTACATGAATTAACATTTGAAGCACAAAAGACGAAAAGAATAGAGGCTGAAAGAGAAAGAAGAAGAAAGCGAGACTCACATTCGCATGTTTCTACGGTTACAAGTGATATTGTTCACCTGCCCCTCTCTTGTGAATTGAATGGCTAACGAGAGCATCCCTGACTGGCAAGGATCCGAATTCCACGCTGGAATTCACGAGTTTAGAGCCCAATGTCTCAGCAATGTCTCCAAGTACAGCAGGTGCATAACAATTTGACTCACAGGAACTCTTTTGACAGTTTACGCTTTCTACCGTTTGAGGAGGGGCAACTCTTTTAACGGGAATACTTTCGTTGTAAAACGAATCTTATAAATTTTCTCTCATAAATCTGACATGATAGTGAATTGGTATTATCACGTCAACTCATGGTTTTGATTAGACATAAACGACTGTTCGTTAGTGATGAACGACTGTTGATCGTATAAAGAGTGACCATGTCTTAGGAATGAACGATCGTTCATCGTATAAGGAACAACCATTCCATGAGAAAGGAATGGTCGTTTTGTAGGAAGAATAGTCATTCCATCATAGAATGGTAGTTCCTTTAGATTGAATGAACATTCCTCATCTAAATAACGGTCGTTCCATCCAAGGAATGACCATTCCTCATCTAAGGAATGATGTCATGTGAGGTTTGTAAGATACGTTTGTCAGTCTATCTTTATTCCTCTTCGGACACTCAAACATGAAACCTCAATCCGTAAAAAGTTTAAATTGTTAAATTACACTTTTAATCCTTTAACATGAAATGAGATGTATTTGTGTAAATTTTTATAATTATCATTTCGTTAATTAATTTCAAAACATTGTATATAGAAGAATAAGAAATGAAGATTTTTTTCCTCATATTTAAAATTTACTATTTCATTCATTTTCTGACACATCAATTTGTATAAAATTTTTTGTAAAATTTGTTTATTTAGTATTATTCTTGTAGGTGTATATCTGTGTCTATAATTGTAAGTCTATAGAAATAGAAGTCCTCAGACATGAAGTCATTGGCTAAAGAATCAAGTCAATGCCTGTTTCCAGTGGTGGAACCAGGAAATTATGTTTAGGGGAGAATTTTAATGTTTAATGAAGAGGTAGATCAGAGTAGAATATATATATTCATTTTATTGGAACCATTTTCTATTTTGAATAAAAAAATTCACAAGTGAATACATATCAAAACAATCAATTTGAAATCTAATAACAGAAATGGAAAAATACTTATTTTTGAAATTATGAAGGTTGTTTAAAAGAGAAGTTCAATTTTTAAGAGGTTTGAGATCACATCTTCAAGCTCACTTCAGCACCAAGCGAGACTATTTGGTTGGGTTTAACTTAACTTTAAGTAACTTAATCTAAACTTATTTCTATCATGCTGAAATAATATGATGATTAGATTTGAATGAGGAAATGAAGTTCCACACCGTAAACATGGCAAATATTATAATCCATCTGCCAAGTGCCTTTACATATATTTTTTCTTAAACTTAGATAGTAAATTAGATACATTAAATTCTTTGGAGGTTATGATATTTTAAACATTTTTTAATATCTTTTACAAGTTTTTTCAAGCAAATTAAACATGTATTATTTCTTCTTAGAACTTTTTATTTTTGATAAAACCTCACCGAAATTAGGGAATTTTATTGAACAACAAAGAAACTAAATACACCTAAAGAGGGGGATATAATGAGTCTTACCTCTTGAAAGCGTGCTAATGCATAATAATTAAAACAAAACAAAAAATGCCTAAGAAACTAAATGCATATATGCACACAATTAACCAAAAGAGAAATGACACAAATTATTTTATTCTTTTGCAAGCTTGAAGACATTCTACTTAATCAATTGTCATGGTTTGATTGTTTGAAGGCATCTAGGGAAGATCTATTGTAGCTGAAAACATATGAGAAATCATTTTCATGGTTGCCCTAAAATTTGGATTGGAATCCAAGCAATCAATTGCTAGCTTTATGCTTGCTATCAATTGATCTTGAATAATAGGTGGAGGAAGTGGAAGGCATTCGTCCAAAACATTATTCAGTAACAAATGCTCCCAAGTGAAAGGAGAGGATATAGTAGGAATGATATCTCCCAAATGCTTTATATTGATCACTTCCAATACTAACTCCCTAAAGCTATATACATCACATTTTTCAGTTACCTTCATTGTGTAAGCGTGAAAGATAAATGATGAGATCACCTTTTTTTTTTTTTTTTTTTACATAAGTAACTAAACAATCAAGACAATAATAAATGAATTATATATACCTAGATCAATATATCCGTATATGCCTGCAACTTGTGTCCAATTGGATGAGTCTGGCTTAAGAAATTTGGCAATTCCAAAGTCTAAAACATGAGCTTCATATTTTGAATCCAACAACACATTTTTGCTCGATATGTCTCAATGGACTATTGGTGGGAAGCTATTGTGGTGTATGTAGGACAAGGCATTACACACACCTTTCCAAACATTTACTCTCTTACCCCAATCCAATTCTCTTGTTGTAGCTTCATTACTCAAGAATATGGCCAAGCTACCTCTTTCAAGATACTCATAAACTAAAACAGAGTCTCTAGAATGTACACAAAAACCGAAAAAATTCACAATGTTTCAATGTTGTACCTCTGTTAATGCCCTTATTTCATTAAAAGCTCTTTTTGGTCTTCTATCTCAAGGGAGTGAAATTTCTTTATCACCAAAATAGTCCCTAACAGAAGCTATGCTCTATAAACACTTCCAAATCCTAGACCACCTTGAATTGAGTCGTAATGCAATATCAATGTTGTACTTTGTGAGAGAAGTTACTTCAATTGTTTATATGGTAACGCATGGAAGGATTCAGGTGGAAGAATGGTTAACAGCATGTGCTTGTATAAAAGATATCATGAAGCAACCAGGTCACCTCAAGTCACTATATGGAGAAGCAACAATTATGTTTATGAAATCACCTCTCATTTATGTACTCAAAGATGGGACGTCAACATTGAAATTACTTCTATCCACAAGAAATCTCTCTCTCTCTCTCCTTTTCTATTTTTTTTGGCAATGGGCAAATGAATATTATTACATCCACCAAAAGAAAATGACTATTATTGCCTCAAAATTGGTACAAAGATAACTAGTTGATAGTATTTTTATTTAGTTAAAAAAGAGAATTGGGACCTCAAAGATAATCTAAAATAAAAACTATATTAATATCAAAGTTGAAAATCAAACCAAATCATCTAAGTTAGGAACATAGAGATACTTTGATGTGTCAAGGAATGTTTCTTATATGTTTCCACTGAGCATGTTGCCACTCAAGAACCTAATAAGAAGAATGTGACATATTTAGCGTGATATAATACTTCATTGTAATTGTAACAGTACAACAATTGCCATCAGAAAATAGTGACTCTGAAACATAGTTGCTTACATAAAGTTTGGAGTCGTTCCAATGCCATTAATTTCTCCTTCCAGCTTGTTAAAGGTCAGATCGCTGTATAAATACGGGGGAGTTTATTAAAACAACCTCTCAAGTTTTAATTTAATTAAAAAGCTATCAAGTTTTAAAGTTTTAAGTAAATAGTCATATTATTGATTAAGGGTAATTAAACTTGATTAGTGCTTAATTATGATTAAAGAAGTATTATGTAATCTTTTCAAAATTATACTATATTCCCACAAACCCGAAATTGTTGCAAACAAACCCAAGCACCCTTCTTCTTCCTCCTGCCATTAACGCATCTCTACCTCTGCATCTTCTTCTCTTCTTCTTAGCTTCGTCTATANCAGAAAATTTAGGGGTGTTCAAAAGAACCGGTTGGAACCAGAACTGGCAGGTACCCTGGGTTTGGTTCCGGTTCCTACCCAGAACCATTTGTCAATGGGTAAGTTCCGATTCCAAATTTTTGGAACCGTTACTGTGCAGTTCCGGTTCCTATTCCTATAGTTAGGAACCGAAACCAGGAATCAGGAACCGAGACTAATATAAAATAAAATTAAGGATTAGAGGGGTTAATAAAAACTTTTTGTAAAAAAAGTAATGTGAATACATTTATATTTATATCTCATAACATTTAAAGTAAGTTGGTTTGACTTTTGAGAATCTACCTTTACAAAGTGATGGAGTTTGTAATTTATAAGTTGTAATTTTATTTTTGTTAACAAGTACCGGGGGGGTATTTGTAAGTTTTTAAGGGTTTTTTTGCCACTTTTTAAAAATTTTGGGGGGTCATGTAATTTTACAGGGTACCCAGAACCGGAACCGTTGTTACAGGTTCTAGTTCTGGGTACTTAGGAACCGAAACCATTGGTTTCGGTTCTGGTTCCAAATTTCAAGGAACCGTTGGTTCTGGTTCTAATTCTGGTTCCTTCAAAAAGTGCAGGATACCCGGAACCGAACACCCCTACTACTCAATACTCACTCAAGGGTTTTATGTTATCTATAGTGTTTTATGATAGAGTTAATGACAATTATTCCCTAAGGTTCAATTAAATAACAAAAATTCTCACAAAATTTATGGGAAAACAGAAATCCCTATATTGTTAAGTTTTATGTGTTAATATTAACGATGAGAGGGCAATTTAGTAAATATTCATTAACTCATAATGATGTATGTTCTAACAGTTTATTAATGGTTCATTAACAGTAAAGGGTATATTTGTTTTAATATTTTTTCCCATCCTATTCATACTATTTCCAAAATATACGCTTGTTTCTTTATTATGAAAATACTATTATATGTTATTCAATTATTTTTTAACCCTTTAAGTTTATTAATTTTACTAAACACCCTCAAAAATAGTTTAGAAATTGATAAAAACACCCCCATCCACTCACATTTGCCAGATTCCGGTCACCACCACTAGAAGGTGACCGAAATCTAGTATAATGGCACACTGNTTCTGTCTTGTATTCATTTCAAAGGACAAACTTGGAAAGCACCACCGGCGAACTTATTAATGATACTTTTTTGGAATTTCTCAACAAAACGACAAACTTGGAAAGCACCACCGCCGAACTACGAAAAGTACTTTTCAGTAAAAGTTGATAATATGGTTCAGATTCTAGTCAATGTCTTGCCTCAATTTTTATTATATTTTTTTTTCTATATAACAAGAATTAAGATAGTATCGAATTCGAATGCACGTTTCAGAGTTAAAAATTAGCATCCTATGAAATTATTTTACACCATTA